TTCAATCAACATGCATTTATTGAGCACTTGCTGTGTGCCAGGTACTGCCCCCAAGTGCTGAGGATAGGAAGTAAAGACCGGATCTATGATTTAACTGGCCATAGATCAAGAGAGGACAGCACTTTTTCAGGAACTTACAGGCTTAGAGTTACTCAGAGCTCTGAGAGAGGTTGTGACTTGCCCCGGGTCACACAGCCAGCAGGATTTAAGCCCACTCTCATTCCATTACTGCATGGCTGCCAAATGCTGGGGTATAGACCCAAAACTGAGGCCTGCCCTCAGGGAGCTTATATTCTCACATGGCTGCCAAATGCCGAGGGTAGAGACCCAAAAAATGAGACACTGCCTGCCCTCAGGGAGCTTATATTCTCCCATGATCTGGACACAACACCTCTCTTTACAATTTCTTCACTTAATTAGTCTTGTTGGCTCATATTAAACATGTAATCCACGGAAACACCCCTGATCTTCTGCAAGAATTCAAGAAAACTGGTCAGAAATTTCTAGGAAATGATTGACACAGAGAAAAGAAAGCCAAACCCAAAAAACAATGTGTATCATGATTATAACAAAAACAACCCTAAAAAGCGACCAGACTCGGATTAAATATAGTGGAGTGATCAGTCTTGGTTCCACAAAACTTGATATGATGAAATCCACTTTCCTCCTTTAGTTATTAGACTGGTGGAGTAGTAGGGATGTGGAATGTTGCATACACTGTCAGATAAGGTCACAGCCTTGATTGGTTTTGCTTGACTTCTCCTTTGTTGCAAGGGAAGATTCAATAGTGGGGGGGAGAGACTGGGAAATATCTGTGATGGGTAAAACCACAGGCATCAGTAAAACTTTTAAGATTCCATAAAACAGCATCAGGAGTAATTTTTTAAAAAAGCCCTGACTGATCTGAGGCAGCTACCTATGCTCATCTGTCCAAAGAAGGACCTGAACAGCTCGGTCCCCAGTGTCCTGTCCAGCTCTCACATGCGAGGGCAGCAGGAGGGTTGGGGTTCATCCACCAGCCACAGAAAGCTCATCAATTTACTCCGGATTTCAGGCCAAGTTTTCTTACTCCTGCCAATGCAAAGTTCCAAGTGGTGACCTGGTGCCCTGCATGGAGAGTCAGAGCACATGGGCCTGAATCCTGGCCTTGCTACTTCCTGCCTCGGTGACCCTGGGCAAGTCACTTCTCCCCTAGTCTTCAGTTTCCTCATCTATAAATAAGGGGGTTAGACTCAATGATCTCAAAGAACCTGTCCCAATCTGAATTCATGATCTTAAGATATTCTATTTTCTGAGCAGGTCATGGGTTGGGTTGGAGTGCTAAAGTATCCTCCTCTACCACCATCCTTGACTGTGGAAAGATCTTCAAATTCACACGAGAGTCCTACTTATCTAATCCACCTCTCCAATTGTGCTGAGCCCCAGAGAGACTCAGAGCCTGGGGGAGGAGTTGTAGAGCTGGGATGCAAACCTAGGTCCTCAGAACTCAGCAGAAGGGTTCAGTGGACACATCTCTGGATTAGAAGGCAGAGGGCCTGGCTTCAAATCTCAGTCTTTTTACTTACTATCTGTATGACATTGGACAAATCACTGGACCTCTCAGGGCCCCAAT